CAGCTTCCACAGGCCAGATCGGCACCGAGTGTCGAGCTGGCGTCATCCGTCCGAGGGCTCGGTGGATTCGCCCCGCGGGGCCCTGGGCCTGGGGGTCACAGCAGGGTCCGGGAATGGACGTTGTTGGGCCGCTGCTCACTGCGCAGTGTTAGGAGTAGGGGGATCCCCTAGATCCAGCTGGATTCCAAACAACCCGTTTACCAGCCGTGCAGGGCCTGGCCGCATGTGGGGGTCTGCGGGCTTCTGCCATCGACCCCCGTGAGCGCAACCAGAGAGCAAAGAAACTAGATTAAAGGGACACCACCCAATTCCCCTGCACTCCCCTGGGCACAGCCCACCCACCCTTCTCCTAGTGCTCCATGGGAGGGGCGGTGCTGGGTGTATCCCGAACGGGGAGGGGACCCATCGGGCTGGGGTCTGTAATGCTGAGTGTGGCGCCCCCTTCTGGCGACTCGCTCCAGTTCAGCGCCCCCTTTCTTCTCTTCCACCATTGCAGCTCCCGGAGTCGCAACTGCCCTGGGTCTCGGCTGTCCGGCCAGGTCACGCTATGATCCCCATTCTGGGGGAGCCTTTCAAAGTCAGACCCCTCTCTCCTATCCCTGCTAGCGAAACCCTTCCTCTGGGGCCTCTAGCCCCCCTTGAGGCTTCCTAGCCCCCCTCGCCTCAGGCCCCCACCACTGGGCCCAGCCCTCGGGCTGTATAGAAGCCCCACCTGTCCCCTCCCAGGCGAGCTTCCTTCTAGCTAGCGCCCTGCACGCAGCCTAAGTCACTTCCCCTTTGCAGCTTAACTGGCTGATCGGGCCCCCCCTGAACCCCGCTCTGTCAGGGCTGGTGCAGGGAGGGGATCGCAGGGCCCTGGTCTGGAAAAGGTTGGGCCCCCCGATCTGGAGGTGGGGGAGGGGTTTTGCCGCACGGATTGCGGCCCTGCAAATAGCAGCGAAGAAAGGAGAATAGAATGGGGGGTGTTAGATGAAGCAGACAGACTGACCGACAGACCACGCCCCCTGCAATAGGTGGGGGGAGCCTCCATGGTCATTCACCCGACCCCGTGCACCTCCAGCCGTGCTGTGTCTGACACACACACATCCTTTCCCCTCTCAGACATTGACGAGTGTCGCAAGACCCCAGATATCTGCAGCCCCAACGCCACGTGTATCAACACCTATGGAAGCTACCGGTGTGAGTGCCAGGCCGGCTATGTCCCCTCCAACAGAAACACGACCCTATGCCAAGGTGGGTCCTGCCGCGGGGGGCATGGAGGAGGCACCTGGGGGGGCTGGGCAGGGTCTGGGGTTACACAGGCAGAGGTCTTGCCTGAGGGGGCAGCGAGCTGGGAACTGGTCTGGGACGGACCATCAGCCCCCCTGCCCCCCATGGACGGGGTCCCTCTGGGTCTCAGCCCTGGCTCACGGGAGCTCAGCCTCCAGGCCCCACCCACCCTTCTCCTAGTGCTCCATGGGAGGGGCGGTGCTGGGTGTATCCCGAACGGGCAGGGACCCATCAGGCTGGGGTCTGTAACGCTGAGTGTGGTGCCCCCTTCTGGCAACTAGCTCCAGTTCAGCGCCTCCTTTCTCCTCTTCCACCATTGCAGCTCCCGGAGTCGCGGCTGCCTCGTGTCTCGGCCGTCCGGTCAGGTCACGCTGTGATCCCCATTCTGGGGGAGCCTTTCAAAGTCAGACCCCTCTCTCCTATGCCTGCTAGTGAAACCCTTCCTCCGGGCTCCTACCCCCCTCGGGGCTTCCTAGCCCCCCTCGCCTCAGGCCCCCACCACTGGGCCCAGCCCTCGGGCTGTAGAGAAGCCCCACCTGTCCCCTCCCAGGCGAGCTTCCTTCTAGCTAGTGCCCTACACGCAGCCTAAGTCACTTCCCTTTGCAGCTTAACACGCTGATCGGGCCCCCCCTTAACCCCGTTCTGTCAGGGCTGGTGCCAGGCGGGGATCACAGGGTCCTGGTCTGGAAAAGGTTGGGCCCCCCGATCTGTGGGGTGGGGGAGGGGTTGCACCGCAGGGACACTAGGGTTACCATATTTCAACAATCAAAAAAGAGGATGGGAGGAGCCCCGCCCTAGCCCCGCCCCTGTCCTGCCCTAGCCCCGCCCCTGCCCCT